TTTCCAGTAGGGTGAAAGGAAAACCGATTGATTGGAGATAAAACATTTCACCATACCATCTCAGATGAGAGTCTCATAACAAAAATTTAAAGAATCCTACAGGGCCACCACAAGAAAAAGACTGATAACCCAATAACAAAATGGGCAAAAGACATGGAAAGACCTTTCACAGAGGAAGACATTCAAATGGCCAACAGACACATGAAGAAATGGTTAAAATCACTGGCAATAAGAGAGATGGAAATCAGAAACAAAGTGAGACCGTATCACCCCAATTGCAGTGACAAAGTTTAACAGGACAGCAAGCAATAAATGTTAGAAGGGATGTGGAGAGATTGAAACTCTCATACAGTGTTGGTGGGATTGTAAAATGGTACAACCACTCTGGAAGGTGGTTTGGTATTTCCTCAAAAAGCTGAATGTAGAAACTCTATATAACCCAGCCATTCCACTGCTAGTAATATACCCCAAGGAAATTAGAACTGAGACACAAACAGAGATTTGTTCATTAGTGCTCATAACAGTGTTATTCACCATCACAAAAGTATGGAAACAGCCCAAATGTCCAATCACAATTAAATGGATTGAGAAATTGTGGTATGATGGAATACTATGCAGTACTCAGGAACAATGATTTTTTTTAATACTACACAAATTAAGAGAGACTGAAAAATACTATGCTGAGTGAACTAACTCAGTCTTGTAAGGACAAATACTGCATGAGACCATTATTGTAAAAATAGCAGGATAACTAGTAAAATGTATAAGGTGTCCAAGAGGAGAAGAGGTGAAAGTGAAGGGGTAGGGGTGGGCAGGGAGAAATCACAGGGTCATACAATTTGGTAGACGGAGGGAAGGGGGTAAAAAAATGAGAAAGACTGTACAGGGACTTGAAAAGAGAAGTTGATGGTTGGCATAGTTTATTGGTGATTAATTTTATAAAACAGTATCTATGGAATGATTGTATGAAACAATGTAAGGAAGTGTGAAACACACATACACAAAGTAAATGAGCATGAAATATCAGCTTTGTGAATATATGGAGATTAATATATATAAAATATATATATATATATGTATATATGAATGAGCTGGGCTTACAAAAAGTGATTGTATTGTTTTAACTGTTGTTGTTGTTGTTATGAGCTGTTGAGTCATTTACAATTCATAGCGACCCTTTGTATAACAGGCCTAAACCCTGCTCTATCTTGTACCAACTTTGTCTCTGATACACCTACCCCCATTACCCCAATCACTGAGTCAAACCATCTCATCAAGGGTCTTTCTCTCTTGCACTGTTCGTCCACCCTCCCAAGGATGACATCCCTCACCAAGGACTGGTCCCTCCTTGCAACATGTCTAAAGGATGTCAGACAAAGTTTTAGAATCCGTGACTCCAAGGAGCAGCCTGTTTACACTCTCTCCAGGATGAACCTATTCTCCTTGTATTGTTTTAACTAGGGACATTTTTATAAATCACAATACATTTATTTATGATAAAGATATGTTTTTAGAAATTCCAATAAATTTAAAGACATGGAAAGACTTTTCACAGACAACACAGTTACTGCTGCAATGGGCTCTAATACGTAAATGTGAGGGTGGCACAGGATAGGACAAGGTTCAGAGCTATTGTTGTTCATGTGGTTGCTACAGGTCATACTCAATTTGATGGTATCTGAAATAACAAATGATTGTAAATTTCAGGTGAAATAATGACCACAAAAAAAAACCCCTTAGTTTAGATTAGGTAAATCTTTTTCAGTTCTCAGATGAAGCTTTTCTGATCTGGCCAACACAAATTCTCAAATGAGGGCAGGAATCCCATACTAGGCATTCCATTTACTGCAGGGGTCATTTTTCCAAGCCAGGGAAAAAGCCATATTTCTCAAATGAAACTGAACTTTACCCAGATAATTGTGACTGTATTTTTGGGTTTCACATTTTTTTGTACATACTAAACCTCACATTAGTCTTACCTTTCAATCTGATTAGGCCCAGGAAATTTTCAATAACATTTTGACAGCTATATGCATTTTTGTTTCTAAACAATTATTGTCTGTAATAGTTCTCTTGTATATTCTTTATTTTATTGTTGTTGTATTATTAAATATTTAGCAAATTCATTGTGTATTTTCAACAAAATTAAGAGCTTTTCAAGCCCAAATGCTTAATTATTTTATAAAAATAGCCTTGTGATTTTGTAATCTTGACCATTTTACGTGTTTACATGGCATATGTGTTTCGGTAAATTAAAATGCATTAAATATTTTCAGTCATAATTTCATCAGGTCATTGATGTATAATTTCTGAGTTTTTAATTTTTTACTTCCTTCTCATTGGTCTTTCATCCTTTGAAATTTGTGTTTTGCCATTTTTTCCAAACTCTTGCATTTTTTCTCTTACATTCATCTCCTCATTTATTCATGAATTCATTCACACTGCAAGTACTGACTGTGGTTCAAATTGTATGTACAATTTTTATTACTTAGCAATGGTCGCACTTTTGTTTCTGTTCTCATGGTGATGTGAATCATTTATCTATGGTATGTATTTCCATGGAAAAGTTTTATTAGGAACAAAGGAAGACTTCCTAGGAAAAGTGCCTTTTGATTTGAGACTTAAAGTAAGAGTTAGTCCATGAAGGAATTGATGGGAAAGTGTTTAGGGTAGAGAATTTTCTCTGCTGAAGGAAGACTATGTGCCTTAGTTAAGGAAAAGCAAAATGCGTTCTTGATTAGAATTAGTTTGTGTGATGTTGTTGTTATGTGCCATCAAGTTACCTGTGACTCATAACTCTGAACCCTGCCCTATTCTATGCCAATCTCATTGCCTCCAGCACACCTACCCCCGTTATTCCAGTTGCTGTGTCAATCCATTTTATCCACTTCTGTGCTGTTCCTCCATCCATCCAAGTATGATGTCCTTCTCCAAGGATTGGCCACTTGTGGAAATATGCTGAAATTATGTGAGATGGAGTTTCAATATCTCTGTCCTAAGGAGCAGCTTGATTTCACACTCTTCAAGACAGACTTGTTTGTTCTCTTGTCAGTTCATTGTATGTTCAATACTCTTCTCCAGCACCACAATTCAAAGCCATTGATTCTTCTGTCATCATTAGTCATTGTCCAGCTCTCTGATGTATAGCTCTCTGATAGCAAGTAATTGTTAAGACCATGGCTTGGATGAGGCACCCCTTTGTCCCTAGACTGACATTATTCTTCAGCAATCTGGAGAAGTCCCTAATAGCAGAATCTTGATTTCCTGATTGCTGGTGCCAAGAGTGTTGACTGTAGAACCAAGCCCAACTGAAATTGTTAACAGTCTCAATTTCTTTTCCATCTCTTATGCCAGTTGACCCAGTAGTGAGAATCTTTTTTAAATTTTATTTTATTAATTTTAATGAACATTTACAGAGATTTTGGATTTTCTTGATGTTGAGCTTTAATCTATATTGAAGACTACAGTCCTCGACCTTCAGCGGCAAATTCTTCAGGTCTTCCTCAGTTCCAGCAAGCAAGGTTGTGACATCTCCATAATTCAGGTTGTTAAGGAGTCTTTCTCCAATCTGGATTCCACATGCCTTTTCATAAAGCTCCACCTCTTGAATGATCTGTTCCATATATAGATTGAAAAGGTGTGGATTTTGAAGCACGTAGTGTTTCTTTGCTCTGTTCTGATGACTGCTTCCTAGTCCAAGTATAGGTTTCACATGAGCACAATGAAGTGTTCTAGGATTGACATTTTTTTCAAGGTTAGCCACAATTTGTTGTGATCCACACCATCAAATGCTTTGACATAGTCATTTAAATACAGATAGACATTCATCTAGTACTTTCTACTTTCAGCTAAGATCCATCTAACATTGGCTATAAAGTCCCTAGTGCCATGGCCTCTTTTAAACTTAGCCTGCACATCTGGCAGTTCTCCATAGACATATCATTCCAGTCTTTTTTTTTTATAATCTTCAGTATCTTGCTTGCATGATCTTAGTGATATTGTTTGATAATTTTTGCACTCTGGGTACCTTTTATTGGAATGGGAATAAATATGGATCTGTTCCAGTTAGTTGGCCAAGTTTATTGGTGCAACCTGGTGAGTGTATCCAGGGCAGCATCAGTCTGTTGAAAGATGTCATTTTAGCAAAATGAAATGGGTTGGCATGAAGTTATGTAATAGGAGAATACATTTTTTGGCTCACAGAGAAATTACTAATAAAATTATGTTCTTATTTGTTAGACAAATCCAAATGTTTAAATTATTTTTACCATTTAAGTGGTGTGATTTTTAAAAACATGTCATCAGTAAAAAGAAAGTGTCATTATATGTTTCTGTATTTACCATACATATCATCCAAGATAACACAATGTGTCTTGAATTTGAAATTTGGACTCTTAGCAAGATTTATTTCTTTAAAGTCAGTAGAAAAAGGAGAACATTTTACAGAATTTTGTTTGATGACTCAGGATATGAATATATATAATTATAGTTATTTTGATAGCTGAATTTTTATAATAGTTCTTATATTATATTTACAGTCTCAATCTTATTTAAATAAATTTATTATTATTTACAAATCTAAATTTATTTCCATGATCAATATTGAATTTCCTTCCTTAGACAATCCAAGAACCTCCAAAGAACCTTGAGGATTTCTTAAAGTCTCAAAACTTGGTGAGTATAGCAGCCAATTTTATATGATAGAATGTTATAAATAATTTATAGAAATAGTATCAATATTCCTTCATGGAATCAGTGAGATTTTAAATGTGTTTGTTTTCATGTTGAAAGCTACCTTTCTATTGTTATAAATGACTATCAACATATTTTGGAAATATTAGGCTTGGCAAGACTTTTCTCTTGGGTTCATGTACACTTGAAGCTTGGATTTCTTTGAGTGTCAAACCTAGGGTAAAGACATCAGTGTAGAAGACAGAAAAAAAGACTTCTGTATTTTATAACATCTGTGTGTGTGTACTTTTGGTGTATTGAATATAAAGGCCCGTGGGCCCCTGAGGCTCCATCTCGATGTGCCAGCAGCTATCAGGACCTCAGCTCGAAGGCCTTTGGAGCTATCTGGGTCCTCAGCCAGCCATGCTACCGCAGGCCTCAGATGAGACCAGAGAAGGCTGTCTGGCATCATGATATTTGCATGCTTGGTTGATTCTGTGATTTGCTGCTAGAAGTAAACACCTGTCAGTTTGTTGTATTGTAGGAGTGTTTTTCATGTTGCTGCCTGTTTTATAGCTTGTTGTTGTTGTTATGTGCCAATGAGTCATTTTCGACTCATAGCGACCCTATGCACAACAGCCCTAAACCCTGCTCTATCCTGTTCCAGCCGCACTGCCTCTGACACACCCATCCCGATTACCCCAGTCACCTAATCAATCCATCTCATAATGGGTCTTCCCCTCCTGCTCTGTCACTCCACCCTCCCAAGCATGATGTCCCTCTCCAAGGACCCGTCCCTCCTTGCAACGTGTCCAAAGTATGTCAGACGAAGCCCCAGAATCCTTGCCTCCAAGGAGTAGCTTGGTTTAATCCTCTCCAAGATGAATCTGTTTGTTTT